CAGAGTATAGAGTAGATCTTAGTGGTCAGAGGCCGAGGACTGACTGTCATCCTGCCTCCAAGACCTTTTCTCTTCCAGCTGGAACCTGTTCATGTCTAACCTCCTGTGCTTTTGCCGCTCTGAGGCTTATCCATAGGCTGCCTTCTCAGGACCCTTGGTCACAACTGGAGATGCAAAGGGCCCAGAGAGTGAGGTTCAATCCCAAGTCCTTCCTCCTGGGACTGCAGATCCCTAGAGCCATTGCAAAGGAGCTGTGACTGGGCAGCTAGGCACTGACCTAGAGAGCCAGCATAGGGGAGAGGACAGCAGAATGCTGGCTTGTAGTTCCGGGCCGTGTTGCACTGCAGAACTAGATCCTGGCTGGTGAATCCTGTCCTCAGGTGTGGTCGTCTGTTGAGGTGGCCTCCCAGGACAAGGCAATTCAACATATGCATTCCCGGAGCCTGGAATCAGCCTGCTGGGAGGTCTGAACAATGGTTATCCCTGAAGTTCAGCCTGAGGGCAGTGGTGGTGAGAGCGTTGGAGGGGGGCGTTCTGGACCTTGTCTCCTCTGGAGTGTACTGGCCTCTCGCGGGAGCATTCCGAGTTATTTCCACTGTCCTGTTGGTGCTTGCCGATGTTGTCAGCCCTCGGGAGGCAGAAGAAGGTGGATCCCTCTCCGTTCCTGGCCAGCCTGGTCCAGGTCGAGGTCTAGGACAGCCCTAGCTTCACAGTGGGACCTTCTCTCACCAACAGCAACAACAAGGACCGCCACCACATCCGACTAAATGAAAATGAAAGAAGACAAGGTCTTCCCAAATCTCCACGGGGCATTCAGGAGGCCTTCCGGGCTGTTTGACAGCGAAGACTGTCATCCTGGGGTGGTCTGGAGTCCCTAGCAGCCCGGTAGCGCCTTGGTGAGAAGCCTGAGCCAGCAGCTGCAGCAGGCTGGAGTTACACCCCTCTCAGCTAGGTGCTAGGGACCCATTTTTCCCCAGGCGCCTCTACGCATGCGCACGGCCCAAACTCACATTTGAAAGAGAAAGATCCGCCTTCCAGCTCAGTGTGCGGCCTTGGTACTTTGATCCAAGCCTCACACAGACCCAGGCAGATGGCTTGACCTCACTTTAAGGGAAGCCAGGGCTACCTGGTGAGGTTTAGGTAGCTGAGGGTTAGCGAGAACACCTCTCCCAGAACCAGCCCAGAGGGGCTTCAACCTAGGCTGGTCCATGGTCAGTGCTAGAAATGGTGAGAGTCGGCTGGGCTCTGGAGCCTCAGGTCCTGCCTAGAGCTTTGTTGGGGTGCCTTTTAGAGGAGCTCCATTGGGCCTGACTGTGTAGCCTGCCTAGCCTGGAGCCAGGGAGCCAGCCTCCCTCCTCTGAGTCCTGAGTGCTGGATTGACAGGCATGAGGAATGATTCAACGTGGCGATTCTCGCAAGTCGTGTATACATGTGTGTGTTTTTGGCTAGCTTGGGAGCGCTGTTGTGCTGTGGGAGCCTGCTGCTGATGTATCTGGAGGGGGCACAGGAAGATGCTGTGTGTTCTCCTCTATGTCTTTCTGCCTGTGCCCTTGGAGCCTCGGTCCTATTTCCTGACCTAAAGGTGCGGCTTGCTGGACAGCAGCTTGGCCCTCTGCTCCTCCAGTCTCAGTGTCCCCCAGGGCTGGCTGATCTGCAGGCATGGAACTGAGGGGGCAAACATTCACACCTATGCTGAGGTCTGACCTTTGCTCCCTAATGCTTGCAGTGAAAGCTCTCTCACCTACTGAATGAGTGGTCTTTGTACCTCCCCACACTGATTGGTATCCCTTCCCCAGGTTGCTTAACGAAGCTGGTGACATTTAACGCATACAGAAATATTTGCTTTTGCATATCCTTATGGAGTGAGTCTCACCATGCAATGAGTATGGTCTGTAAAGTCTTTGTTGTCCTGTCTGAGCCCTGAGTCACAGTCTGCTCCCTATCTGGGGCCCAGTGGTCAAATGAGCTACACATGCATCTTTCATCAGTTACAGGCTTGCTGTTTCTTTGCTAACTGGCTGACACGCATGTGTTCTTTCTTGCTTGCTGTTTGCTTGCTGTTGGCTGTCCTGCTTGTTTGCTTCTTGCTTGCTTGCTTGCTTGCATGCCTGCTTGCCTGTAGACCTGCTATCTCTCCATCTCCTTTAGGGATTCAGGACAGTGTCCCCTGTAGCACAGTCCAGTTCTAAACTCTGTGTTGTTTTGGATGATTAAATTTGCTTTTTCCCCAGTCTCCAAATATACCTGTCCCGAATTTCCAGGTGTGGGCAGCCATTTTGAAGTGTTCCCTGTTCTGAGCCGTATATTCAATCCTGCCAGCCATTCCTCAGAGCAACTGTGGTACCTGACCTGCCTTTATGCAAGACTCCCTGTGCCTCTTTTCACATGATGCAAGCTCACTGTTGCTTTGGGACCTGTTGATGAATCTTGTGCCAAAGAGAGATAGATGACTATTCAGTCACACCACCCTTTCCTGTCCCATCCATATCATGGCTGTAGTCCCTTTCTTCCAAATATTAAACTGGGATCTGGGAACTGAACACATATCCATCATCCTTCCTGTTTCTAGTGGTTGAGGTGGGGTGATGCTTCAGTGCCAAAGTGCTATGCCAGACTGTGTGCCAGGGTTTTTTTTTCTTTATTTCTTTTTAGACAGTGTTTCAAATGGCATTGACTGTCCTTAATACTTTCTGCTCTTTTTCATTAATATCTCTCTCTCAATCTCTTGCCACAGTTTTTTATCTTGGTGTGGCCTCCCACTCTGTTGTGTTTAGTCTTCTTATCAATGTTTACACCCATGCCCAGTCTTTCTCAATGTAACTCTCAAACATTCCAACCATCCTTTCACAAACCTTCCCCTTTTCAGGGGATCTTTTTCTCTGAACCTTTGATTATCTCTTACATTTTGAGAGTGGATTGTGTCTGTATCTCTGGAAGTGTGTTAAGAAATGTAGAATTAGTTTAATATGATCTAAATTTCCAGTCAGAATGTCTTGGCATAATCAGTCGATTTGGAACACTGATGGTTACCTGAGGCCACCATGTTGGGAAAGCTGTTATAGTAAGATTTTGTGTAGTGTTATATGGCTCAATGATCAATAGAATTTCTTCTTTTTCAGACTGTGACTGGAGTAGTATTGATGCTTGGTACCTTCTTCATTCTTTCTTAGATAAGGCAGTGCCCAGTCCTTCACTGTTCTTCTTCTTCTTCAAAGATGAAATACCCCAAGAGTCTGCATGAACCATAGGTGAAGTTCAGCCACCTGAGCTGTCGTCCTGCCATTCCACTGCCCTGGTATCCTCTCATGTGTTCAAAAACTCATCTTCTGCCATCAAAATCCCCCAGATAGCATGCTGGATAGAAGAATTAACAGTCCAGCATTGTACCCAGCCCACCCTTCTTTGTGTTACCTCCCCAACCCTGTTTTTTTTTTTTTTTTTTTTTTTTTCTGGTCTTGTGTGTTCCTTCTTCAGCAAAGAAAACTGTTATCAGACACAAGAACACACACCTGTCATCTTGTTCTCTATGATGTTTGTGGCAAGATTATGACTTGGGTGAAAACATCATCAACCACCTGGAACTCGTAGCCAGCTTCTGTCCTCAGACCTTTGCTTACCTGTAGCTCAGGGCTGTCTCCCATTCCAGTGGTTTTCCATCCCTGTTGCCTAACCTCAAGGCTCCTCCATAAAACTGTATTTTTTAATTTGCCAGAGTCTGGTTTTTCACTGTCCACCTGACTCTAAGGATCCTTTCTTTCCAGGAACCACTTTACATTTCTTTACTCCTGTTTTTCCCCTTCATAGGAGGCACATATAATGCTGACTTTTTGTAATTTATCCGTTGGAAATAGGAAACTCTGAATTAAGGAATCAATAAATAGTCCTTCCTCTTATGATGAGTCCCTAAAGGCACTCCAAAGGCACTGTGAGCCAGGAAAGGTGTCTCTAGTCTGTCATCTCAGCAATGGAGATGTGGTATCAGGATGCTCCCTTTGAACCCTCATCATCCTGGACTACAGTACTAAAACATGTCAAGTGCACAATTGTCTCTAAAGAAGTCCCTCCCTATATACAAGAGTTCCCAGGCTAGGGCATTTCATCATGTTCTTTGTCCTGTCAAAAAAAGTTCCCCATGATTTTCTTGTAGTATTTTTTTTTTTTTTTGGTTCATCTGTTTTTTTTGTTTTTTGTATTGTAAAAAACAAAACTGTTTTTCAAGACACAGTTTCTTTTTGTAGCCCTGGTTGTCCTGGAAGTTGCTTTATAGCATCGGGTGACCTAGAACTCAGAGATCCACCTGCCCCTAACTCCCAAATGCTGTGAGTGAAGCTATAAACCACCAGGCCTGGCTCATAGTAGATAATTAGGTTCTTTTTTTTTCCCCAGAGACAGGGTTTGGCTGTGTTGTTTTGGTGCCTGTCCTGGATCTTGCTCTACACACCAGGCTGGCCTCGAATTCATAGATATACGCTTGGCTCTACCTCCCAAGTGCTGGGATTAAAGGCGTGCACCATCACAGACTGGCCTTATAGTACGTTCTTAAGAAGTGATTTCATAGTCACTCTAGCTGCTGGCTGAAGTAGGTTGAAGGGTATTTTTGATACTATTTGGTTTTCCAGTGTCATGGGCTTTCCCTATGTAAATCAGATCCTTTTGTGAGGCGAGGTTGTGTAAGCTTTTAGTCCCAACACGGAGTCGGGGGAAGCAGAGGCAAGTGGGTCTCTGTTAGTTCGAGACTAGACTGGTGTGTGTATACAGGTCCAGAATAGCCACGGCTATGTCGTTTGACCTTTTCTTTAAAATAAAATTGAATTAAAAGGAAAGAATAAAAGCAAATCTGTTTCTACAACTTTACTCTAGAATCCCCCTGGGAATTTGATAATAATGACCGTCACTTTGTCGTCCTCTGTAGTCACTAGCAGGAAAGTGTAATCTTCCTTAAGAGCCCAAGGCTTACAAGGTTGTAGCTTTCAGGCGTTACGCCCCCGTTAGCGCGGTGCTAGGGACCCCTTTTTGTTTTTATCCATGTGCGCACGCGCGCCGGGCTTCCGCGTTGGTGTGGGCTGGGTTACTACGTCATTGGGCTGCGCGGCGCGGCTGGAGCTGTGGTTGCCGGAAGTTGAGCGGCGGTAAGTAAGTCGTGGTTGCGGAGCAGGCGCGGGGCTGGCGGGCTTCACATAGGAAAGCTGAGGCTAGTTTGGGGGCTGTTCTGAAATATTCTTTACCCGTCTTTACTCGATCCCCTCCTTCCCCGGCAGGAAGTGTTCCGATCCCGGTGTCGGGAGACACCTCTGGTAGCTCATTCTGTCAAGTCCTGCCTTTGCGGTGTGTGTGGACGGGCCCACGAGTGAGCTTGTGCCTCTGGTCTGTGAAGGGCTTTGATCTTGTTACTTGTTTTATGAGGAGGACACAGTTCTTCGTTTAAGGCTTCTCTAAGAAAGGATCTGCATTCTGTTAAAGGGTCCAGAGGTTGCAAACTAATACTCTATAGGAATCAGCCTGGTGAGGCAAATGTACGTGTCAGAAAGTTTCTGAGCCAAGTACAGTCCCGTAGAGAAGCGACCCCAGCCGCAGGGAGGCTGAGCCAAGAGAATTGGTATTTAGGACCAGCCTTGGCAATCTGACACAGACCTTTTCGCAAACCGTGAAAGGTGCCTGGAGTGTAGTTCAGTGCCATAGCATTTCCTCAGCATTCCAGGGCTCAGGGTTCAATTGACAGCACATTCCAAATTGAGACCGAATTCAACCTGTGTCTCCGTATGCAGTCTTATTTTAATTCTTTTTTTTTTTTTTTTTTTTTCCTTCGAGACAGGGTTTCTCTGTGTAGCTTTGGAGCCTGTCCTGGAACTCGCTTTGTAGACCAGGCTGACCTTGAACTCACAGAGATCCACCTGGCTCTGCCTCCCGAGTGCTGGGGTTAAAGGCGTGCGCCACACCGCCCGGCTTAGAATTTTGTTGTTGTTTTGTTTTGTTTTGTTGGGGTTAAAGGCATGCGCCACCATCACCTGGCCTTATTTTAACTCTTAAAAAATATTTGTAATTACGAGTGCTTGTATATGTGTGTGCTTGCATGAATGTAGATATCGATAGAAGCCTCCAGAGACGAGACATGTCAGATCCGGACAGAAATGGAGCTACAGGCAGTTGTGTCTGACATGGGCCCTGGAAACCCGACCCAGGTCCTGAAAGAGCAGTACACACTCGTAACCACTGAGTTGGAGACATCTTTCCTGTACAAATTAATTTGTTTTTTAAGATTGAATGCCGGGTGGTGGTGGCGCACACCTTTAATCCCAGCCCTCAGGAGGCAGAGGCAGGTGGATCTTTGTGAGTTCGAGGCCAGCCTGGTCTACACAGCGAGATCCAGGAAAGGCGCAAAGCTACACAGAGAAACCCTGTCTTGAAAAACCTAAATAAATAAATAAATAAAAATAAAGATTGAATGCCATGTAGCCCATGCTGGCTTTGAACATTCAGTGTAGCAGAGGCAGGCCTTTTTTTTTTTTTTTAAACTCTGCTTCCACCTCCTTGGGTGCTGGAATTACAGGTGTGTACCATTATGCCTGGCTTATCTGGTGCTGGAAAATTGAACTTGGAGCTACACTGTTATTCCAATCACCTTATTCTTAAGCCCGGTCACAAATGTACTTTCCCTCTCAAATGTACTAATTGGCTGGGTTTCATTTGTCTTTTTTTTTTTTTAAAAAATTTAACCCGTATAACTGGTGAACAGACGTGTCTGTGGCTGTAGACTTCAGAGCTCTGTCTCAGGCTTCTCCTTTCCCATAGACTGCATTTTTGTCTTATGACACCTCAGCTTCCTGGCCTCAGTTTGTGAAAGCTCATGATTTCCTGTTGCTTCCAGCTTGCCTCCCCCAGTTCTTACTGCAAAAGTCATGTGAAGAGCTGAGGATTGTGGTCAGCAGCCACAGCTCATGGCGCTGTCGGTTTTGAAGTCACACTTGCTCTTAGCTGACCTGCATCTCTTTGAAAACTGCTAGATTACCTTCCTCATCCTTCTGTAGCTAAATGCATTTAGTTATTTACCCAGAGTGAGCTCTACTGATATACAAGGATTTTCATATCACTTATTAGTAAGTCCCAACATACCTTTCTAGATGTCTGGCATACTATATATGCTTAACAAATATGCCTGGATACACTTAATGAAAGGTGTATTTGAATGCCCAGGCTTCACTTGTAAGCCCTAAAGATGAAACAGGATCTCATAACCCCACGTAGTGGTCATGATGGTGGTGATTGTCAGTAAATTGTACACTTTAATGAGGTGGTAGTGTTTACCATTATCTCAGCTCTTGGGAAGCTAAGGCATGGAAGGATCAAGAGTTCAAGGTGTGCGGGGTATGGTGGGCTGTGGGCTTTTATTTTGAAAGTGTTCGAGTGGGAAGCAGGGCACTGAAGAATATTAAGCAAGGAGGGCATGCGTTGTCATCTCTAAGTCACTGAGGCAGCAACTGGCAGCATTGCACAGGGAAGGCCTACCTGGGGACCTGTCAGGGTTCTGTGGCAGTGATCCAGGTGATGAGGACAGCAGCCTCAGTGTATGTGTGGTGTGGCAGCAACAGCAGAGCTCTGAGCTTAGACTTGGTGTCAGTTGGCCTCAGTCTTACCCCTTCCCCAGAGAAATGAAGTCCACGGATGCATTCCTCGTCTTCTGGTTTTCCTTCCCTCTCCCAGTGTCTGAAGGCTAACTGTAGACCTAGGTGAGTTAAGAGACAATTGGAATTTCCATGTTCATGGCAGACTGGACAAGTCTTATTCACTGGCTCTTAGTCCAACTCCAGAATTTGGGGTACTCCCTACCTTCTTTGCCCAGGCCACCCCACTTTGAACTGGCTTCTGCATGTCAGACTGGAGCATGTGTGGAAAGGAAGTCTTCACAGAATCCAGCTGTGTGGGGTGCAGGTTCTTTGGCGTTCCCTAAAGCCCTGCTAGTGACCTGGTAAACACATCATATTCTTCCTATGGTTGCACTCTTATGTCTCCAGCAGGGTCTGAAGGCTGCCTGCATGGCTGTGGGCTTATGTCTCCAGCAGGATCTGAAGGCTGCCTGCATGGCTGTGGGCTTATGTCTCCAGCAGGTGTGAAGGCTGTCTGCATGGCTGTGGGCTTATGTCTCCAGCAGGTGTGAAGGCTGCCTGCATGGCTGTGGGCTCATGTCTCCAGCAGGGTCTGAAGGCTGCCTGCATGGCTGTGGGCTTATGTCTCCAGCAGGTGTGAAGGCTGCCTGCATGGCTGTGGGCTTATGTCTCCAGCAGGTGTGAAGGCTGTCTGCATGGCTGTGGGCTTATGTCTCCAGCAGGTGTGAAGGCTGTCTGCATGGCTGTGGGCTTATGTCTCCAGCAGGTGTGAAGGCTGCCTGCATGGCTGTGGGCTTATGTCTCCAGCAGGGTCTGAAGGCTGCCTGCATGGCTGTGGGCTTATGTCTCCAGCAGGATCTGAAGGCTGCCTGCATGACTGTGGGCTTATGTCTCCAGCAAGGACTGAAGGCTGCCTGCATGGCTGTGGGCTTATGTCTCCAGCAGGTGTGAAGGCTGTCTGCATGGCTGTGGGCTCATGTCTCCAGCAAGGACTGAAGGCTGCCTGCATGGCTGTGGGCTTATGTCTCCAGCAGGTGTGAAGGCTGCCTGCATGGCTGTGGGCTTATGTCTCCAGCAGGTGTGAAGGCTGCCTGCATGGCTGTGGGCTTATGTCTCCAGCAGGATCTGAAGGCTGCCTGCATGGCTGTGGGCTTATGTCTCCAGCAGGATCTGAAGGCTGCCTGCATGGCTGTGGGCTTATGTCTCCAGCAGGTGTGAAGGCTGCCTGCATGGCTGTGGGCTCATGTCTCCAGCAGGTGTGAAGGCTGCCTGCATGGCTGTGGGCTTATGTCTCCAGCAGGTGTGAAGGCTGCCTGCATGGCTGTGGGCTTATGTCTCCAGCAGGATCTGAAGGCTGCCTGCATGGCTGTGGGCTTATGTCTCCAGCAGGATCTGAAGGCTGCCTGCATGGCTGTGGGCTTATGTCTCCAGCAGGTGTGAAGGCTGCCTGCATGGCTGTGGGCTCATGTCTCCAGCAGGTGTGAAGGCTGCCTGCATGGCTGTGGGCTTATGTCTCCAGCAGGTGTGAAGGCTGCCTGCATGGCTGTGGGCTTATGTCTCCAGCAGGTGTGAAGGCTGCCTGCATGGCTGTGGGCTCATGTCTCCAGCAAGGACTGAAGGCTGCCTGCATGACTGTGGGCTCATGTCTCCAGCAGGTGTGAAGGCTGCCTGCATGGCTGTGGGCTTATGTCTCCAGCAGGTGTGAAGGCTGCCTGCATGGCTGTGGGCTCATGTCTCCAGCAAGGACTGAAGGCTGCCTGCATGATTGTGGGCTCATGTCTCCAGCAGGTATGAAGGCTGTCTGCATGGCTGTGGGCTTATGTCTCCAGCAGGTGTGAAGGCTGCCTGCATGGCTGTGGGAAGCTGCTGTCTGTTTCCTGTCTCCCCCCGCTCAGTCCTCCTCTCTGCCTTTTGCTGAGCTCACCCGTTACACCCATCAGCGAAGGCTCTTCTCCCTTCTCTGTTGCTCCTCACCCACTCTTGTTTGTTTGTTTGTTTGGTTGGTTGGTTGGTTGGTTTTTACATCCCAACCAATGTTTCCCCTCCCTCCTCTCCTCCCAGTCCCTCCCCCACCCCTATTGTTGTGGAATATTAGTTGAAGATGTGTTACATTTGTTTCTGCTGTGGAACATTTGTTTAATGATGCAAAGATGTGTTGCATTCTTTTACGTTGCATTTGTTTAACTCTGTGATGCTGTGTTACTGTGCCTGTCTAAAACACCCGATGGTCTAATAAAGAGCTGAATGACCAATAGCAAGGCAGGAGAAAGGATAGGCGAGGCTGGCTGGCAGAGAGAATACATAGGAGGAGAAAAAGAGAAGAGAGAGGCGCGAGAAAAGGAGAAGGAGAGGACACCAGGGGCCAGCCACACAGCCATACAACCAGCCACGGAGTGAGAAGTAAAGAAAAACATATAGAATAAAGAAAGGTGAAAGTCCAGAGGCAAAAAGTAGATGGGATAATTTAAGAAAAGCTGGCTAGAAATGAGTCAAGCTAAGGCTGGGCATTCATAAATATGACTAGGACT